AGTTGATACGCGGCTTCTGTACTGAATGAGCCACATTCCCCAATGCGGATGCTTTATTCCAGTCCCATTGTTCCACTTCCCCACTCCATTTCTCTTCCTTAAAAATGATCCACGATTTCTAACTTTGAGGGGAAAGGAAGAAAAAAAAAAACAAAAAAACGAGGCTCCCATTTTCCATTTTCCCCCAATTCCTCTTGCGAATCTAACTTTTGTAGGCTGAGGGAAGGAGAGATTTACATTATTTTCATTTTTTTTCCTGGTAGCTGAAAGTGCATCGCGAAACTGATGCAGAATGCTCCTCGGAAACATCACGTCTGCTGCACTTTCTTTGTCTGGGGGGGGGGCCAGGACTGGCCATAGTAAGGCTGCAGTTTTAACGGGGATGGTCAGTGTCGCATCTGAGACACCCAGCAGACAGCATGGAGGGGAGAATCGCTCACCCACACACACTCACATGCAGGCACCCACCTTGTCTCCCCACTATCTCAGCGACATGCTCCGAGCTGGGCACCGGGACGCATTCAGTCATGTTCACGCTCTTTTTCCGCGGCTCGCTGTCGTAAATGGAGCCCGTCTCGTCGTTGTCCAGCCCCAGCAGGGAGAGCTGATCCAGGGCGATCTGAAGGGCTCTTTGTTCATCCAGGGTCTCTCCCCCTCCACCACCACCACCACCGCCGCCGCCGCCGCCGCTCCCGTTCCTCTCCATGTCTGCAAAAAGCGAGCTGGGCATAGTCCCTGTGTGTGTTGCACCCTCCTCCTGCACTCGGTTCAGTAGTAAAAGCTCAGACACAAAGGAAAACCCGAGGCAGATGGCCAGCAGGAGAGAAGGACGGGGAGGGTGGGCGACTGCTGGAGACCGGGGGTCTGTTGCCTTTTGCTTGTATATTTTGTATCTTTTTTTTTTTCTCCTCTCAGTGCAATCCGGTTTATAAGATGTTTGCAGGACCCCCCCCACGACTCCCCCCCACGGTTTTTTTTTGGCTGGGGGGGGGGGGGGGGGGAGGGGAGCGAAGAGCG